GGGGAAAAAATAAGAACCAAGATACATCATGTACAGGTACAAGATCCCAATGATAAATGTAAATGTATTGTATACCTAAAATGTACCAATAAAAGAATTTAAGCAAAAAAAAAAATTCATCTCTCCTTTTAGGTCCAATGTTTGCTTTGTATAACTGTGTACTCCCATTGGAGAAAATAATATGTACAAGTATTTTCTGTTGTTAAAATTGTCCTTTTGTTATTATTTTATGACCTTTGTCGTTTTTTAAAGTTTTTTAATTGAAGCTTTAGTTGCAGAAGTATAGCTAATCTGCTCACTTTAGTTTCATGTGCACAGTTTGTCTTTTTCCACCTCTTCACTTTCAGTGCACCTGTACCTTTACTGGTGAAGTGAGTTTGTTTTAGGCAGCACATAGTTGGTTTTATTTTCACCAGTCAGTCAGTATGTGCCTTTTAATTGGGGAATATAATGTTTTTACATTCAAGGTTATGAACCAGGCATGGTGCCACACATTGCTAGTTTTAGCACTCAATACATTGAGGCTGGAGGAGCACTGGAACTTAAAAACACCATGGGTAACTCAGTGAGAACTTGTCTCAAAAAATACATTCAAGGGCTGGGATGTAGCTCAGTGGTACTGCACCTGCATTACAAACCCAAGGTCCTGAGTTTGATCCCCAGTACCAAAACAAAACAAAACAAATTCAAGAATATTATTCATAGGGCCGGGGATTTAGCTCAGTGGCTCCACTTCCTGCTTCACAAGTGCAAGGTCATGAGTTTGATCCACGGTACCAAAAAAAAAATATTATTCATAAGTAAAGACATACTCTTGTCATTCTTTCAATTTTTTCTACTTCCTTCATGTATCTGTTCTTCTCTTGTTCATCTTTGTGACTTGGTGGCTTTCTGTACTGATAGGGTTTGATTCTCTTTCTCTTTTGTGTTACTTGCTGTACTGTTGAGTTTTATGTTTCATGATGGTAGTTATCATCCTTTCATTTTTAAAAAAATGTTTATTTTTTTGATATGAGGTCTCACTATGTAGTTCAGGCTGGACTTGAACTCACTCTGTAGCATAGGCTGTCCTCAAATTCGTGGTGATCCTCCTGCCTTGACCTCCCAAGTACTGGGAATGAAGGCATGTACCACCATGCCCAGCCATCATTTTTTTTTTGGTACCAGGGATTGAAGCATCCTTTTCTTTTTTCTTTGTTTTGTTTTTGGTACTGGGGATTGAACCCAGGACCTCGCGCTTGCCAGGCAGGTGCTGTGCCACTGAGCTATATCCCCAGCCCCTTTCATTTTTAATAGAGGAGTTCC